ATCTGTAATACAATAAAACCTGTTGAAAACGGAAACCTGCCAAACCGGATAAAGTATTCTGTACCGTGCGATTTCGGTTTACACAGATTTTACTATATATTTTCATATGAGAAAAATGGATATTTTTGCTGTATATTTTCATGTGTTTAAGAGTTCATTTTATTTCTGTTATATATATAGAAAGATATTAATAGCGAGGTTGCGGTCGACGTTTTCAACGCGAAAACGTGTACGTCGAACGTTGAGCACCGCCATCTTGTAAGCCTAGAAGTTTGACAATGGCGTTTGGAACGTCCAGCATGATTCTACTGACTTTCCAAACGCCATTGTTAAACTTCTAGCCTTACAAGATGGCGGCGCTGAACGTCCGACGTACACGTTTCCGCGTTGAAAACGTCGACCGCAACCTCGCTATTTTAAAATAAAACCACTTTAAACTATATTTTATAATAAATGTTTTATCGCTTCGTTGCATATTTTAATGATAATCTTATTTTTCGTTTGCTTTAAAATATTAATCAATAAATAATATATGAGATTTTATGCGATTTATATTTTATAGCGCTGTTGATCTTTCGGATTTATTTCAGTTCTCCGTAAATCGTCATTTTGCTTAGTCACTTCCTTCTTCAGAAGTTTAGATATAAATCAAACTTGTCATTTTTACATATTATATTTTCATGTATTTTATACAGCTATTTTATAAACATAGGATGGTACTGTTTACATTTTATAGGAATCATACGTTCACAATTGACAATTATAAATAGTTTTCAAATACAACCGATCTTCGATTTAGCACCATTGGTTCGCTTCTGAAATTGGCACTAAATCGAACAAGGCGCTAAACCGAAATATCTCAAACAAGAATTATACGTGGTTATAATATACTTGAAAGTTACGAGATTTAGTATTAACACCGTCCTTTGCAAGTATATTTATTAATTCTCACATACTGAAGGATTCTTTGGAGAAGATCCGTTACAAGTATTCATTAGAGCTTTTGCGAGGACGTTATATCGAGGTTTGACTACATTAAATTCTGTGTATTCACTTAAAAAAAGATATTAATACGAATTAATTATATATTAGTATAAAAAAGTGTATTTTTCTTAGTAAAATGATTGCATTTGAAACAAATGATTCTGGTATAAACCATATAAGCTTAAAAATATTATGTTTACATAGGTGATTATATTTAAAATTGTATAATACGTAAACAATTCGTTAATACAAACATGTTTACAATTAATTATGTTTAGGCTTGCTTTTGTTATTCATCTGATAAGTAATTCATTTTCTTCAATATAAAGACATTAAATAGGATGTAAATAAATCAAATATTTATTATTTATGTTATACACCTATCCTCTTATACATCTTTTTTTACACGGGAAAAAACAGTTTATTGGAAAATTTTTAATTTAACTTTTTATTAAAATTGTGTTATTGTTACTCTTTTTGTAGAAATCAAGAGTTGATTTATTTTTTAAACACAGTACAGTACACCAGAAAGTCCTGTGTGTTGATTTTATGTTTCCTATGCTACCTTGTGTTTACTATATTTACCTACAAACAATGTTAATAATAAATCATGTTAGAATAAAATAAGCTCTCTTTTTTTGTAAATTGCTTATTTTTTGTGCCATTGAAGTTGTGGATCCTATCAAGCATTTTCCTACAGCTGAAATAACCAAATTTTTAATACGTTTTCATTTTAATGTTTGTCCTTATTACTTTTCACCCGGTTAGCTAGTTAACTATTAATAATATAATTAAATAAGATAATATTACACGAGGTTAACTCATGGTTAAGCTTAACATAATGGATAGGTCAACATTGTGATCGTTGTAAACAGTTTATTTGTCAGTAAACAGTGTATTGAGGAAGATGTGGAAAGAGATGGAAGATGAGGAAAAAACTTGAAATATTTTACAGTTAACTGGAGTTACAATGCATTTCCTATTCCCGGATATACCCTCTTTTTGTAAAATTTTCGTTCGGGTGGATTTTTATAAAATTAATATATATTTAAAAAAGCAAGATTGGGAATAGATGTATACAGCGAAACCTGTGTAAGCCAGACTCGTACGGTACCGAATATTTTCCGTTTTGAACAGGTCTTTTGGCACAGAAAATCACTGCGTTTTCAAGAATATTTCCCGTTTAGTTTCCGTTTTGTGCAGGTTTTACTGTATTTGTATTTTTTTTTTCATTATAAAATATTACTATAAAGTTTGAATATTTATATGATTTTTTTAACCAAAACTTTCTTTGAGTGCCCTTTTATGATTTTTTTTAACAAAATCGGTTCTTCAATATTGTGACTGGAACCATTCAATACTCTTGTAAGGATCCAGAACAGTAAATTTGACTTTATCGTTCACTAAGGGTTAATTATGGTTTCAGTATAACTTTATATTATGTTAATATTCAGTTAATTCTTTAGAAATTACTACTTTTTTCCAATACATAATAATTTCTTATACAACTAACAGTATTGCATTGCTACTGCATTCTAATTATGGATTAAACTATTACAGTATCTAATTGGATGCAAAATATCTTCGATTTACATATTTTTATATAAAATTTTTTGAGTAAATTAGTAAATAAACTTCATATATTTAGTAATGCATAAGCTTTAATTATGATTTATACAAGAAAGTTCAATTTCAAGCGAAGTGCCACGACACACCATAAAATAATTTAAAATTCCAAATACAGTAAAACCTGCGTAAACTGGAATCGCACGGTACCGAATATTTTTTCCGGTTTGGTAGATTTCCATTTTAAACAGTTTTTTTTTAACAGAAGAGAATTCGTTCCGTTAGACAGAGATTTCCATTTCATTCATGTTCCGTTTTGGACAGGTTTTACTGTAATTAACCATAAAAACACTTTATACTTTTCTATTAAAAACAAATAAAGGCATTTTGAAGTTACGACATCTTTAAAATAATTTTTCAATTGATAACATTCACGATTGTTATGCTAATGTTTAGTGAAGGGCGAGGAAAACCTTCGTTCCATTTTTTGGAGCGGAAGGTCAAATTGCCACATTGTTCTACATAATGTCAACAACAAAAGCTTTCACTATGAATAAGTTTCGAGCGTTTGATATTCATTACGATATTCTTCTATCAATGACTAGGGAATTACATAGAGTTATCAAAAATATGCAAACCTTGACTCGTTAACAGTCTATTCTAATGCAATTTTTTTTGTAGGAAGGACGAATATTAATTAATTTGAGAAATAAACACAAATAAGCAATGTAATATTTATTTGTTGATTAATTTTAAGTCTTTTTCGACTTGTTTTATTCTAATCCAGTAATCAATTAATTTAAAGTCGAGAAATGCAAAAAATTCATGGTTTTTTTCTGTATGCATTGATGTTAGTGGGTGTTTGGAGCACGATTTTATTTACCCAAGTTGAAGCTTAATAAATCCTGTACCTTTTGTCGAAAATTTCTGAAATTTTGCAAGGAGGTTTGTGTATTAGGAGGAAATGTTTTAAGAAAATCGGACCATTAGTTTGGGAGATATTAAAGGAGTGGTGTCATATCTCAAAAAGCTTTCAAGTTATGAAACGTTTCTGATTCGTAGAAATTCTTAGTTTATCAAAAAATAAATGTATTTATTTGGAAAATTTTTTCAGAAAATTTCTATTATAATTAATAATACAAAAGCTATTCTTTAAGTAAAAGTCTCTTAACACATGGTGCCACAATTTTAAAAATCGCTAATTTGCTAATGTGTTTCTTAACAATAAATATTTTTCTCCGGGAAAGTTACGCAACTCGTTTCCGGATTTCTTTTATATTTAAATCTAATTAAATATTATAAAATATTTTTCATATTATATTTAATATCTTAAGATTTAGTTTACGAAAATATATTCAGATTTCAAGAATCTTTAATTTATTACTAGAAATTATTAGTTTTAAACTTAATCATTTTTATTTTATTTCACTCTTAGTAATGCCTAAAAGACAGATCAGATCTTAAAAGTAATAATACAAAAATACTTAATATATTACTATTTCCAAGCCATGACACATCTCGATTGATTGATACTATTAAATTTTGGTAGTTAAAAGTGTGGAGATAAAGAGGGGTCGTATGTCATATCTTCAGTAGGGTCGGAGTTAATGACGATTTTACTCGTTATCATCATTTACAATTTTTTATAAAACCCATCCCTACCTTTAAAATTAAGCTTTTTACCACTTTATAACAATTAAAATATATTTATATAAAAAAAAATATAAACTTAGATTTTAGTGGAATTTTACAATGACTTTTAGATTTTTAAAACAAAGGTAAATATATTCTTAATTTTATTTCTTATTATTTTATTTTATTTTATCTACTTTTATTATTTAAGGGTGGTTATCTCTCATACGTTTAACGTTAACCTACTTTCTATAGTGAAAATAAATAAATAAATGTTAAAATATTTCTATTAAATTTATATATATTTTATGAATATTTAAAACCGGTTTCTTTCTAGTTAAATGTATTTTTAATCAATCACATATCTAAATTGACTCCCTTTTATAATATTTTATGAAAATGTATGATAATGTATTTAAAAATATTGATATCTTTTTTATAGTTTATGTATCCTACCAAAATATTGCTTAAATTTATTGAAATAAGTTTCTATTTCTATAATATTTCCTTCTTTCCATCAATAAATAAATGTATCTAGAACAATATTTTTCTGTTATTTCGGTCCTGTCAAGCATGAGAACCATGTCAAAGAATTACTCATTCAGATTTTAGTTATAAAATGTTCAACTTTAAATATAATATTCGAATATATTGATATATCATTTATATGAACAAAGAATGCTTGTAAATTATTCAATTTTTCAATAACATAACATAGCCTTTATATCAATTAATAATTGTGTTAATAAATAAATCATATTCAAATAATACAGAGAGTATCTATTGGCAATTTTATACATTATTTAAGATGTATCTAATACATTTTTATGTACTAGAATTCAAATAATGCCGTTTACATTAGCAAAAAGTAGAGAAATAGAGATTATGATTGGTTGATTAACTTATCCATTGTTAATAACAATTATTATCGATCAAATTCATCCCGTTTAGTTTAAATAAAACATTAAAAACCTGATAAACACCACCGATCAGCATAAAAAAAAACAAAAAATACAAATTCCGTCTGACGTCTGTCCATCTGTCTTTCCTTAATCTCGAGAATGAAGTTAGATAGATGAAAGACGAGACCGGTTATGGAAACATTACGGGCAGGAACCGATTAACTATATAATAACTTTCGATGAAAACCGGAAGTCACGTTTTTTCAATTCAAAAATTTTCTCCCGAATAGATGACTGGCACCGTTAAAGGAGAAGTATGGCGTACAGGGGCAAGCCATTACTAATTTGAGGTGGAGAGCATATATTTTAAATTAAATAAATTAAAAATATGATTAAAAATTGCAGCCCGGCATTGTGACGTCACAATAATTAATTGCTCGTACAACATTAGAATATAACAAAGAATTACAGGTATTCACTGCTTAAGAACTGGGATACGTTCGGAGAAATAAGTCGTTAAGCCAGCATAGTGTAATCATTGAAGCTATATAGAGGGTGGTTCATTCTAATTAATATAACAATATAAATAATACCGGTATATTGATATTGTATGTAGCATAGATTGCCATCTATTGTAAACACGATTAATTAAATTCTTTTCTTATAATTTTTTTCAGAATTTCATTTCGAGTAGGAACTTAATTGGAGAAACAAATGGCTTATGTTGGTACGTAAATAAACATTGCAATTATATAAATTTTAAATAAATTACTATTATTATTTTTTATCACGATAATTTTTCAATTGGCGCTACATAATATTTCATTCTGTTAAGTAATGATTGTCTTATTTTAATATTTGAAAATTATGTTACTTTTTAAATATTAATCTATCCACATTATACAAATTAAAAAGAAGCTTTTATAGTTCATTTTTGTAGAATTTTTTTACTACATACGTGTCCAAAACTTAAGGACGAACACATTTGCTAGAGATAATACTAGAAAAAATCAACCAGTCGGTGGCAATTTCATAGAGTGGAGGTGGACATATTCTACACTAACAGGTCTCCCAGCTTGGGTATTGGTAAGCACTTTCATCCATTCTCTGCCGTGTTACGTCAACCCCGTGTAATACAGTTATTGCCATATTCGTCTACAGTTCGTGTGCTTTTGGACACGTGTGTATATTCAACAATAATAAAACAGTATTTTCCTAAATGGTATAATTAAAATTTACAAGAGATTTAAGCTAAACATTCTCTTATTCGTGTTAAATGTTAATAATATTATTGTTGTTTATAAAACTTAGTAAAACTTTTAGTCATTATTTTTCTGTTGGAACTGTTTAGCTTTGATATTTGTAATCAGAATATTTGTTCAAATTCAGATTTAATTTACTTTATAGGGAGGTTTATGTATTAGAGGGATTGATGCTATTAAATTTTGGTGGCTAAAGATCAAGCAGGTGGGGAAATAGAGGGGGGTGTCATGCGTCATATCTCGAGTGGGATCTGACTTAATGAAGATTTTACTCGTTATTGGCATTTACAACAGATGGAACCACATATAATTTTAAAGTTTGGCCGGGAAAGTTACGCAACTCGTCTCCGAATTTTTTTTCTGTAAACGATCGATCGACGATCAATAATCGTTAGCATTAGCAATCGATAATTTAGTAAAAATGTTTATAATAAAATATCAATTTTTTCAGTATTATCATTTTTATCATGTGTTTTGCTTAAACGCTGCCATATTGAATTATATCAAAGCATTAGAAATAAAGAGATCCGACTTCATTTAACAGGGAAATTAATGATGATGATAGCATAATAGCTGTTTAACTGCTGCCTAACTTGATGCACTTTGCGTGCTTACTTATTTACCTGCTTTCCAACTAAAGTAAACATTAAAATTCAATATAATGATTTATAGACAACGTTTATCTTAAATCATTACAAAATATTTTTTAAATAAATATATATATGTATAATAGGGCAATTTATTATGATTCGTGACATGTTCCTGAAATTGAGTTCATGCTGTAAATTATTTAAAGTAAAAATATCGACCATATTTTAAAAGGTATATGAATCTACCTATTACATATTAGTACAATAATATAAAGAATTATAAACTGGAGAAGTAATTAAGTTTATAAGTTATATTTAGTGAATGTTGTTTCCCTGGGTAACAAGAAACAATCAATTAAATTTGACTGTGTTAATCATATGATTTTCCAGTGATACTCTTACATGCAAGGATTTCGTCATTCAGGATGTGGAGTCTGCTAACAATAACTTAAACAATATTCTACCTTACATTTTCGATTAATTAATTAATAATGTTTACTATTGTTAAAAAATGTTTATAAATAGCAAAACAAGCGTGATATTTGGCAACCGTACTTCTGAACTTTCTGAGATTTTTCCATTCATTCTTAAAATTATTCTTGACTTATAATCTCTTCTTCACATTGTGTTAACATTCTATATTCAAATTTAAGAAGATTTACTTGCTTATAATCAAGAAAAGGTGTATTTTATTTTATATAGAAATTATATAAAGTAGATAAAATGATATTACAAAATATTGAATTTTACTAAATTTTTATAAAATCACAATGAGATTTAGACGAATTTATATTAGTAAACTTGGTCGATAATTGACTCAAAATTGAATACAGAACCATCAGACCAACAAAATAAACGAATCATTATGCATACAAACACGAACAAAGATATATAGCGTAATCAGCAGGAAATGAGAAGGTAAATCGACTTGAGAGCGATGAAATAAATTTCAGAAATTGGAGAAGTAAATACAGTTCTTTCTGCCTGTTGGTCTCTCAAAGAATAATTGGATTTATTATTCTTATATGCAGTATAAATTTATCATTTTACTTCAAATATCATTCACTTCATAATTATTTTTTAAAATTATAATTTCGTTATTTATTTTAACTCGACTGTAATTAATTTATTAAAATTTGTATCTTAGATTTTACAGGTCAAGTAATAATAATACATAAAGATAATTAGGGTTTAAAACGAATTTTTTTAAATTCTTTTCATATTATTTTGTTCCTTTTTACTTCTGATGATGACACGAACATTAAATATATTTTGTAATATTTAATAAAGCTAATTGTTTGTTAGTTACACGTGAAGCAAAATATTATATGAGAAATGAAATTTTACATTAAATTTCCTATAAGAAAAATACTTATATTTATATTTTAAAAAATAGTATTTTGCTTCACTATATTCAATACAATTTTATTGCATTATATTGATATTTGAATAGATTTTAATTTTGGAAAATATGAAATATTAGCATTAAAATTTGTAATTTTTTTTTCTTTTTCTTAATAGGGAATTCTCCTTCGGTAATTGTACAGCAGCCGGTATTTCGTGATACACCTGTTCAAACCCTCTGTCCAAACTGTAGAAATACCGTTGTTACATCGACTGTAAAAGAGAGTGGTGGTTGTACTTATTTGGCAGCTTTTGCAGTTTGTTTAATATGGTAAATTATTCTTGCTTTTATGCATAAATTATATTATTATAATACAGAATCTTTCGAAAGAATTGGCATTTTAATTTACATCATATTTCACAAGTACATAAAAATTTTGTAAAGAGCAATGCTCATTTATAAGACAGTGGAATTTAGTTTAACAATAGACATTAAGTAACCATAGCAGCAAATTTATTGACAAAAAATATATTTAGATAAAAGTAAAAAATAGCAGGTTGTTATAGAGCTTTATCTCATACACAACAATTAATTAACTATTTTTAGTCTCTGAAACTCCAGTCTCAATTATCCAGTTGTTATCACAAATGTTAAAGAGATATTTCAAGAAATATTCAAAAATTTCATATATATAATGAAATTCGCGTATTCGAAACGAACTTTGATTTTTATTCAATTGATAATATGATGTCATGTGAAATATAAAAAATAAGAATATGTAAAACATGAATTACAATACAGTAGACCCACCCTATAAAACGGGTTCATATAGTTCGGATTCATATAACACGGCAAAAAATTGCGACCATATTCGTATAAACACGCCAAAAGAGACTCGTATAATTCAGTAAAACGTCATCGCCGACTCGTGTCGCGACAGGATTAGTCGAATCTAGACCAATAGCGGATATTGCACAAACTGTTGAGTTTAAATGAGCAGAGGACCTACTAAAAACCATTTATTATTTAACGGCCATAAAAATTATATTTATATTAATAATGTCTCCGAAGTTCAGCGAATTTTACGCAGAAAAATAACTTATCAGGAAGCACGCGAGCGCCATTCGATGCACCGCTCCACGACGAAAACGAGCTTAAGCAATGGCGTCGTCGAACGGTGCACGCTCGGTAAGTAATCCTACAATTTTTATTTATAGCATAGTTTATATGAATTATTCTCCAAAAATTATACGTGTTTTGGAAATGTTGATTCGAATTAGTCTAGAATCGATTAATTTTATGGAAGAAAGCCTTTCAAACGGCCGTAGTCCGTAAACTGCATACGTGCCGGACTGTGATTGGCTCATGTATTTAAGGACTCGTAGAACATCAATTTCACAAAGAACGGAACGTATCTACCATGTTATAGGGGGGGTCGACTGTATGTAATATTATTAAAAATTACATAATATTTGAAGACAAGTAGCATCATAATATGGACGTATATGTTATTAAATGCTAAAAAACAAGTTTATAATTCTACCAAGACGGGATTTCTGTGCACATATTAACTAAAATTTGATTGAATTCGCAATATACAGTATTTTGTTTTTGAATTGTTGACTTATCTTTCCAAGTTATACTCAATAAACAATTTATTGAAATATTGTAATTGCAATGTTTGGCTATTAAATAATAAGACAATGATGTCAGTTATATAATCATTTGTTAGTTTTATAAGATACTCAAGACATTATTACCTGTAAATTTATTTACTTTTGCATGTTTTTAAAAAATAAAAAATTAGAAACACTTTAAAAATTTCATTTTCTTGCAACACGACTTGCAAAATTATCAGATTTCAGCTTTTCTTACTTAAAGAGGGATTTACACACTTTAAAATAGGAATATTTCCGAAATTTTCAGACCATCGAGCGAAATTTGCTAGCATTTTCAACGTGCATATCCACTATATACTATATGTAACTTACTATTATTCAGTCAGGATATTTGTTACTTACATTATGTCAACTGTTGAATAAATTTCGTTTTATTTATGAAAACGGGACATTTATTTACAAACTGAAATGATAATCCGCAATATTATCAATATTTTAAAATGCCAGTTACTTTTGAATTATCTCACATACTGTATTTATGAAATTGTCCTTTACTTAAAATCTCTATTGTTATTATTATCTAATATTTTCGGACTTCAATAAATTTCTTATAATCGATTTATAGGAATGAATTTATAATTCATTATAAAATTAAATAACTTTATATTATTGAAGTCAAATTTTTAATTTAAGTTTTAAAAGCCTAGATATAAAACTATATCTTAATTATGTGTAACACTGTATATTAGTAGCAGATGAAATACTGATACTTTTTCAATGTTAGTATTATTTAGCATTAATATTAGCTACAAATGTTGGCTGGAATTATGACGTTGAAGATCTCGAGGATGCTCTCAACTTCATTTTGCTATTATTCAAATTTATGGATGCCTATCTTATACGAAAAATATTCTTTCTCTTTCATAAATTTTTCTATAATTTCAATTTAACAATTAAGAATTTTTATAATTTTTTTAACAGTTGCCCATGCTTTTGGATTCCACTAGTGATTGACACCTGTAAAGATACTATCCACACCTGTCCTAATTGTAACAGTACTTTGGGAATAAGTAAAGCACTGTAATTTAAATACTTAGGATGCCATATTCACTGCTACAAAGTCGCCTATGAAATTATTTTTAACAATTTAAAATTTTTAAAATAAAGTACAAAATTTTTCATAGTTGATTCTTAATAAGTACTTTGTGAAATAATATACAACAAATAATTTTAGTAATCCTGCTTACTTTATAGTTACTGTAAATTTACATATGTTTTGCATACGAATATTTACAAAATATATACTGTATGTTGATAGTACAAATATAGAAAAATGAATAAATTGACAATAAATTTTAAAAATAATTATTAAAAACTATTAAAATTATACAATTCTAATCTTTTGAAGCATTTGCAATATTTACAATTTCTTTCTATACTTTTTACTTCAGATTTTATGCTCCAAATACAGTATATAGAATCTTTTGGCTACATATAGTACAAAATACTGTAAATATACAGTATTTTGTACTATAAATATACAATATTTAAAGTAAAATATATTATTAATAGAGGATCTTTTATTTAATATTTTCTAACATTAATATATCTCCAATATACAAAAGTGTTGTTTTTTAATCAAAAAATTACATTACATTTTGATATTTAAATTTGTATTATTCAAGAACATAATAATTCTAAAATACCAGTATACTAAATTATACGTGATCATAAAAGTTTAAGGTCATACAAAATGCAACTTATATCAAATAATACAATGAAATTAAATCATATTTATCAATAAATTTTTCTAAGTTTGCATTACTGAATAGTTATTAAATTGTCAATATGTGAAAACCTAACAAAAATTAATTAACATTAAAATTATTCCAAAGATTAGAAACATTCACAGCCAATTGGAATTAAAAATCTACTTAATTAAATTACTATTGATGTAAATTGAATTCTGAATTAGAACAATAATTAATAAATATAATCAAATTTTTTGCTATTTTTGTATTATTAGCTAAATCATTTTCTAATTAATGAATTCAGTTTGCTCCTACTTTAACAAAATTATATTTTCTTACAGTGTTTTACTAATAATAATTGTAATTATTATAATTTATATTATGAAAAATATTTCATTAACTATTGTTTTATGCATCCATTAATTGTTTCATAATATATTCTCATAATAATTTGTAATTAACTGATTCACAATATTGTTAAATCAAATTATGCAGTATAGTTGTGATATATGGTATATACTATTTATTAAAATTAAAAACAATTTATGTAATCTGATAATGCTATTTAACGTTTTAATTTTTATTAATTAAAAAACAACTTAATACTAATTGAATATTTTCTTTAATGGAATTAATGAAATAATTTGTTTACTAATGTACAGTACAGTACTTTCAAGTACTTAAAAAGCTAAATTGGAAACTGTATAAATGTAATCAATGCATTAATATTGTTGTTAAAATTATTTTTATGTAATTGTTTAAGTTTCTAATAGTTTAACTAAATAAAAAAAATACATGATAAAGTGCTATCGATTGATATAACTATAATTAAATTACATATAATCCACGATGGAATGTTTCAAGTATTATACAATGTTTGAAAACATTCCATCATGCATTCTTTTGAAACAAATGTAATTTTTATGTTACAGGATAGGAACCATCAACATTAATTTTAAATATAAGAAAGAGAGCAAGAAAGTTAAGATAACTTTCTTCTCTCTTTCTTGCATAGTGTCTCAGTTACTAGTGTGTCTCAAATATAGAATACATACACTTAGGTGTATTCTAGGTTGAGACACACTATGTACATTAAGATGCATTCACTTAAGATTCATCTTAAGCGAAGGCATTCTCATATTTATACACAAAATTATTATAGGGGAGACCCATCCACGTCAGGACACATTTTGGTTTACAATCATTTGTTGTGAATTCCCCCAGAGGGGATCGTTTACCCCTAGAAAATTTCGAGCCACTCCTGTCCATTGTTCCAAATGGCAAAAGTATGTTTGTACAGCCTATTTAATTATCCAAAAAATATAAATGATCAATATTTAATGTTTAATTTTTGAATATTTTTCTATCGTTTTGTACTCATTTTATTTATAGTATTATTTAATATTATTAATCATTGTTAATTTTGAGCAAACTCGAGACGAGGTTCCACCAAATTATTTAAATATGATTTGGCAGCATATATAAACAAGTATTGAAAACAGTTTCAAAAAATTTCCAGTGCTACAATGGAACACCTGTCATGAAGGAGATGTTCAGGCGTTACTACAAGGAAAAAATTGAATAGAACAATAATTATTGCAATGGTTTACGTCCATTGCGGCAATTATTGAAGTCAAATGCAGTAATCACAGATTGCACTTAGTAGTTGAAATCATTACTTGAGGAAATAGTGTAAAAAATAGATGCGATCAAGTTTTTGAAGAAGTATTAATAAATGAACAACCCACCAAGAACAACAGATTTTTAAATCGAAACTTAAGCGAGCGATCTGGGATCAAGGGGAATGCATCCCTGGAAGACTTTTATGGGAGGATGGACCCTATTAAGGTGTTACTAACGTGAAGAAAACCCCGAAAACTGCATGTAGCCAGCCTGTTGGCCATGCCCAACCCACAACTATCGGTGTTCGGTGGTTTTATACATTCGGCTACTGGAAGGCGCTTATTAGAATTAAGAAAGTACCATTCAGAAATGAAAAAATTAAATACTTAGAGATTTCACAGGGTAACACCTTTCGATTGTACACAGGAAAGTGCTATGCATACCTGTCTCAGTAAGTATATAGCGCGTCTATTTCGCGCTGCATCATTGTCGCAGTAATTAAGTGAATATAATATATATATATATATATTTAAATTATATCCTTTTTCTAAGAATTATATTTAGTTTATTATTTTGTTGATTTTTTTCCAACAGATGGCGCTACGTGTAAATCAGCAAATCGAATGTATCAATAGATAGAAATTAATTGATGTACAGAAATGCAAGAGATATTTTGGTGTGTGATGTACGACATTATCTAAGTTAAAAGTATGTAAACGTAACTTTCGAGTTTCGTAGCAATTGGTCGAACGGCCTAGGAGTGTATAGCGAACAAACATTCTCATTTATATATTTAGCTAGATAAATAACTATTTGAGTTTTTATAAAACAAAATAAACTGTTAAAAATATATATAGACAAAGAATATTGTATACCAGAAACGAGTTTTCCGGTAACATTTAAAATTTTGGTGGCGCCATCCGTTATCATATTTTAGTAAAAAGCATCTTATATTTTTAACTATTATAAAACGGCAAAAAAGCTTAATTTTAAGGGTAGGGATGGGTTTTATAAAAGCTTGCAAATGATAATAACGAGTAAAATCGTCATTAAGTTCGACCATACTCGAGATACACACGACCTCCATTATCTCTTCACTTCCTCGACCTTTAATCATCAACATTTAATAAAATCAATCCCCCCTAATAAACAAACCTCCGTGCAAGTTTTCAGAAAATTTCGACAAGAAACACAGGAGTTATTAAACTTCAAAGAGGGCGAAAAAATTGTGCCCCCCCACACACACTAACATCCATACATACAGAAATTACGCCGGAATTTTTTTTTCTTTTTTTTTGAATTTCTCGATGTTTCAAAATGTCCCAAGTCCAAAAATGTAAAATTCTTGGGGGTCATTGTTTTACCGATTGCCATACTTTCCTTCTGTTATATACAAGAAGCCGATAAAGGTAAAAGTGCTATAACAGAATGAATTTTCTATTTAACTTATTTCCGAAATTTTTCTGATAATAAGAGCTCCTTCTACTGAAATTAATTACCGTAATTGAAGGTGCTCGACATTATTTGTATAGTAACTAACATTATCTGTATAGACGTAACTGTAGCCATGGTATTATCAGTTTATCATTAGAATTACTGTTTGCATTATATCTCGAAATTGATTTATCTTTTAAATTTAATTTGTTCGACATTAACTTATTCGTTGTATTCTCGTGCTTTGCTTTATACTTGGTGTAAATTCTTTGTCTCTGATATAAGGCGGATCGTTGTCTCTGATATAAGTCGTGCTGGTCATCTAACACCTTTCGGGGCAAATTTTTGAATTGAAATAACGTAACTTCCGGCCAGATATGAGAAGAACCGTGGCATTTTGTCCCCAATCTCGTCTTTCACCTATCTAACTCCGTTCTCGAGATTGAGGATGTAACAATTGTCAAGCCGCCGACGTCACTATTGCAGTATCGCCGGATGACAATAAATCGCGTGCCTGAAATATCCTTTTATAATATATTGAATCATGAATGATTATCAGAAAAGGCAAGCATTTTGAACAAGTTAGATACACGCAAAATTATCAAATTATTGTATTTCGAAAATCCTCGTTTTTTGAAGCACCCATCCGCCATATTTAGTCCAATTATTATTTTTCTATTGGTAATACAGTTATATTAAATCAGATAAAATACATATGAAAATAAGCATTGTAACGTATGAACGTGTAGATGATTTATGGATTTTATACTTCGATAATATCGTTTTTTTTTTTAAACTGTTATGCTTGGTTCTATAACAATTGAAGAGATCAGACCAATGGCAGAAGTGATAAAGGCGTGTGTAAATTTTTTTTATTTCATTTTTTAAGTGTTTCCTATGAGCACTAAGAGGACTTTTTAATGATAACCATTATAGATTCGGCCAGACTCACAATAGAGGCTGCCAGATGGAAGGAACACGGAAAGACCGCTCACGAAAAATCCCTGAGATGCATAGACCGTTCGGATTCGATCTCGGATCCCCATTAGTAAATTTTTTCTTAACTGATTCAATATTACATCATATTTTGTGGTGCTACTTTTTGATCACGAGGGTATTATTCCTTAGTACAATTAAGGGGTTGACCGAGAATATGTGTTACCTAATTGTGGGGTACGTGCGATGTGTTTTGGAGTGTTTCGGTAGGATGGAATGGTATTTAAAAAGTATAAAAATAGAATTACGTAATTCCTGGACGATTCCATATACTGACCTCTTAAAGATAAAGAACCTTATAAGTATTTAACTGTAACGAATACAAAAATAATCCGTATAGGAAGAATTTAATAGACTATGTCATTGTATATTAGCTGGATAATTGCGTCGCTCACGTGCTAAGTTGTTTTATAAAACAAATCCATATTTAGTGCAACAAGCATTAATTAATGAGCATCAGAATACTTGAAACCAAACAGCTTTTTCAATTAATAGTCATTAAAAGTGTCCGGATTAGTAGTAGCGAGCTGCAAGATGGACAGATGGACAGAAGTAGACGTATTCAGTGTCATTGAAGCAAATCATTGAATTAATGGACTCGACTAAAAGCAATTCTGTCCGGATGTATTTGGTTGGTTAGTGAACGTAGTGGTGGCCTCTACTTGACCAGAAAATAGAATTAAATGGATGGACTAAATTTCACTCTCCTCACACGGTACGTTACTAAATTTCTTGCCGCTCGACTAATTACTGGACGTGTCTTGAACGAGTGACTATAATTCTATTTTTCTGATCGAGTAGCGGTCCCATCTCTGTCATTAAAGGCACAAAGCGTTTACTTTCTGTAAACGTTCGAACGTAATCCCCCGCGAATTTCGAGCTTTCACTATAATTTATTACTTTATCGTCTAGCGACAAAGAAATAAATTACAATATCGCGATTCTCGATATAACAGAGGGAGACGATTTTCTGTTATATTCGATGTCGTGGTCGATTATAAAACGAGCGTTATACGAGATATGAAAAGACACACAGTCTTTACTGTAGTAAATAAGAGGGAAACAAATATCACACTTCCCAGCAGGGACGTAAACAATAACTGTCGGCCAGCTATCTAAAGGACATTCCTCGAACTAGTTATTGGAAGTCCTATATTTTTAAATAATATATTTTCAATTCGATTGAGCCCTAAAATAAGTTAAGTGCCCCATAATCCTGGGTTCTCTCAGGATTGTGGGGTTCTGTGAGATTTTCTCGCCAAAATACGCGAGATCAAAAATGGTGCCATCTGAAGAAAGTGGATGAAAATCTAAATGTTTATTATAATGTTTGGTAACTTGTTAAATAAAGCTAACATAAACATGTGTCTTCATTCTTGAGACCCTGTGTTTCTAATTTATCCTAGTTTTCTTTGTGTTATTGTCTTCATTTAATATTTTAAAATATAATATCTTATATTACATGTTAGAGTTTAGAAAATTATACAGGAAATCCTTGTTAACTCGAACTATCCGAGTTCGTATTTCTCGACCTCGGGTCGAGAAATACGACCCGACCGGTATTTCGAACTCGGATAGTTTGAAATACCGGTCGAGGTGTAGATATTTACACGTTAAGGAATTCCGTTAGTTCGAAGTGTTTCTGAGAGGTTAGCCGACTGGGGTGGAAATGTGAGGACAGTCGAGCGAGAGTGGAATGACTCACTAAGGCAGGTTTTCCATCGTAAACCGTTTAATAAACATAAAAATTTCTCATACAACAAATCCTTAAAAAGGCGTAACACCTCTCCAAAGTCGGGAAACAAGTCCGTACACAAAAAGTTCAACTGTTCTGACGGTAGTTTTTCTTCCGGCGATGGTGGCGTGAAGACGTCGGCCACGGGTCGCACAGCACTATTTGAACCGATGTCTTCTAACTACAAGGTGTATTTGAGCTATCTTGATGGCACGGGAGGGCGAAGACAAGTTCCCCGAATGTCTAACAAGCTTTCGTGGGAGAACGTCCGGATGACAAGAATCCCTGAGAGGAACACTGCGAACCAAGAACGTCACGTCCTTGATTCTCGCAGTTTTATAAGTTTTGCCCCTGAAGCCGCCTTTTCATTGGTCTCTACTCGTCACATGGTGACAATTCGAAACCGCAGAAGAGGTCAGTTTCGCGACTAAATATGACTCCTCTCCATCCCTGTTTCCCTCGACTTTAATCTTTTATATTATTTTAATTATAAAAAAAAACTTTTATTGTTCAATCAGGACATTAAATCTCCCTATTCGTGTCTGAAAATGGAGATGTTTATTTCTTGATAGAGTGGTCACCTTCGGACCTTCAAAGCGGCTTCTGTCTGATACCTCACACCTCCATAGAACAATAGACCAAGAACAACATCTGGTCAGTATGACTTTGCTTTTACAGTAACATATTTTCGGATGTCACCTCACATATGAACTACCCCTTTTATCTCTTATTTTATAAAATACGGCTGGGTTTCAGAATAAATTACATCATTTATGTGACATTTGGAATATTATACAGACGTGTATGTAAATCTCGGATAATTCGAAGTCGTCCCCTGAATTTCGTACTAACGAGGAATTTCCTATATTGCTAAATTTCAGTATTTAACTGTCATTTATTGTAAATAATTTAAGTACAAATTATTTTTGAGGAATAGTTTAGGTAATAAAAGATAGCAGTCTCTTATTCTGCTGGACAACGTTCGAGTTAAGTCAGTTTAGTTAGCTATTATCCTGTATTACTACAGTATCTACTCGTGACTCGTTATTAAAAACGTCACGTACTTTCTTTAATCCCATAAAAAAAAACCTATAAAAATAGTTTTCTGGTAATTACCATTAAAATTATCGAACTTTCGAACCTCTGACTCTCATCCAATTCATTCAAATAAGGGTAACATTCTCGTTGATTTATATTACAGTTGACCCTTATAACACTGTTGATAATTCCGTTTTATATGAATTTCATGTTGTACGAGTCACTTAGATTTTACAAATACGTGAGCCGTTCACAACCCGGCACACGTATTTGTAAAATCTAAGTGACTCGTACAATATGAAATTCATATAAAACGGAATTATCAACAGTGTTATAGGGGGTCGACTGTATTTAGAATTTATTTCTAATTGACGAATGATATCTGAAGTTATTAAAAGACACGAATTTGAATACATTATATAATTTTAGAAGAATTTAAAATTAAAGGACGGTTTGCAAGGTGATATATCGAGCACGTAAAACCTCCTTATTTGTAAAATCCTCACGATGTTCCAAAAAAAAAAAACAAACATGGAGTATATGCAGATAACTCGACATTCTAGATAAATTTTTGATGTATTAACATAAAATATTCTTAAGTGGCGTGACCTATTTTATTTTATGCACGGGGAAAAAAATAAATAAATACTCTTATGTCATATTCTACTGAATCAATTTATAGTTCTCTCTCTATCTGGATCGATAGAATGACTTTTCATCCCATTATACGCTTAGTCTCCTCAGTTTCCGGACAATATCTATTCAGATCTTTGGCAAGAATGAGAGGAAAAAAAAAGATTAAAAGTTATCTTTTTCTAACTTTGATTTTTGTATTAAAGAAAAAAAATTCTATTAAATTTGAAAAATAAAAATAAGTACAGAGCCAAAAATACATTTTACCTCGAAATAAAAATGGCCGTTGTTAATAGTAGAAACCAATCAGAAGAAACTAATGTAAATTTCAAATGAAGTCTCAACGTGTCGCCATCTGTTGAAGAATTTCAAAAATAAAAAATAGTAATAATAATAATAATAATAATAATATTAAATTTCAAGAAATTTTTTTTTTGAAAATACAAANATAGTTGTATTTTATTAAAAATCAAATTGAATTCTGCAGAAAATATTTAATTTACAAAAGCAGTGATATATATCTCTGGAGTCAGATTGAAACGGATTGTTCCCATAAGAACATAACTAAATAAAAACCATATAAAATAAATAGAATAAAACAAACAGAAAAAAAAATGTAATAAATAATAATTAATAAAGTATTTACATCCTTAGAGACCCTAAGCTATAGTATATAAGAGGCATTTATCTTCCAACGATGTGTAATAAATGTATATTGAATAAACAGTTAGAGGGGCTTTACTAGGCATAAGTACCAGTAGACCCCTCTATAACACTGTAGATAATTACGTGTTATATGAATTTCATGTTGTACGAGTCACTTAAATTTTACAAATACGTGAGCCGTTCACGTATTTGTAAAATCTAAGTGACTCGTATAACATGAAATTCATATAACACGGAATTATCTACAGTGTTATAGCGGGGTCTACTGTATCTCGAAAACAGATAGAGGCCCTTCGTAATACGAGATAAATACACGTCCTTAACAGTACAGGTTATATATTTTGCATTATAAATGAAATTATTTATTGTTATTTTGTAAAATAAAACAATAACAATACCTGATTTGACAAGTTTACTTATCATTGTTCGGATATCTTTAGGTTGTTTTTTTAACCCGCACAAAAGTTTTACTTAAAATACGTCTAAGTTCAGATCTGATAATACAAAATTCGTATCCAGAGATGAATAGATGAGCCAATAATCCCCAGCATTGTTAAGATCAAAATGAATTTTATACAACTCGATAATACTTATAAACGAGTGTAGTATTTTAAAAATTTCCAAGTAATTCACTGCGAATTTAAGTTACGGATAGGCCCTAACTAAACTTTGATTTGCTAGGCCCTTTTTACATAAGTTTATACAAAGTTTGTATCATGCAATATGCGATACAAGATGTAAGATCCTAGCTAATACTGGAATATGAATGGATTACCTCTCTGGGAACGAATCTAGGCCAGCATTTTCTCATGGGAGGTCTGTCCCGAATATGTTAGGCCCTGTCCTCATCTGGCAGCTTCCATTTTAAATCTGGTCGAACACACAATAAGTATGGAAGCCTTAGTATTCACAGTAAGGCCTTTTTCCATTTTTACAGATGAAAGAATCAATTTTTGGCACGTTCATCGATGAGCTTATATTTATGCGTCTGAGGCCCTATGTAAAAGTCCGAAGTGCCTTATGCCTAGAGTTTTTTTATTCCTAAAAAACTTAGGCCCTTTTGTCTAAGGTCGCAAATACATATAAATATAAACTTAAAAGCGCGAGATCTTAGGCAAAAGTTTAAATTTTTTTTATCCATAACTTTGTCCATAAATTTAAAAAAAAATGTATATATAATAATACATCTTGTAATTGTTAATCAGCAAATAATATTTAATTTTTACCATTAAATTAGTTAATTTCTGTATAATAAACATTTTAAAAAAAATCGTTTCAAAAGCAAAAAATATACACATTATTGTTAAATACTTTCGAAATTCCTTATTAATACAAATTGAATAAGATAAGCCTTAAGCTAAAATACGTTTAACGAAGAGAGGCTTAAACTATAAAAGACAATATCGTATTTAGCAACATTAAATGCTTCAAGAGAAAATATTAAAATATATTTCTACATCATTAATTTAAAATGATTTAAATTGACGAATTAAAATTCTTTTATTAACACGACAGGCGAAAACAGTCAAAGAGAGTGAGAGAGAAAGAAAAAAAAAACGACTGTAAAGTAGCAGTTTCTAAAAACATTTAATTTTCCTGCAAATGATCTTCGGGCAATTAGATAAGAAATGGAAATAGTAAATTTTTAGATGCTTTTATAAAAGATAGAATGAAATTTAGCCGCAGAGATTTTGTCTGACTATTAGTCAGTCGTGTCTTTGTACTGCAGCAAGTGTTTCTAACATTTGCTGAGATACATTTATCATCTCGACTGACTTATTTTTCCATGAGCTTCACAGATGCGACGACGACATCACGACGACTAAAAAATAATTTTTAGCTAGAAAAATAATCGCTAAATTAATCTTTTAACTTTATATATATATATATATATATCAGCTGTAACAATATAAAGCTTTAAAAAACGGTATTTTTTGCATCATTGCTTTACATAAAACGTAACTCTTTTAAGTCTTTAAATTGCATTATAAATGCTAATTGTATATTTAAATATGCACAAATAAATAAAAGACGTTTCTTTGTAGATATTTTATAAAGAAAATGCAGAAAGATACAAATGCATTTACTTACATTACGATTATTTAAAAGATACTTCGTCAGATAGCAATCTTTATGAACAGAGGGTTAAATATTAGGAAGAGGAAAAAAAATGACTTTTGGTATTTAAGAAATACATCCTTTTAATATTTAATTCTATAGCGGCGAGGATGTTACGTGCATAAGTAGAATGAATGTAAGAATATTGTTATATTGCATAATGATAATCTTAGTGCATCGTTACAACTATTGACTATCATTCTTAGCAGAAAAAGATAAGAATTTTTGCATTTATACGTGCTTTAAAACGTAGAATTTATGTAAATAAATCTANTTTAGCACTATCTAGTAAGTTCGAACAGAAATCGTATAAAATGCGGTTTCGAGATTTAGTTCTGAAAATTTTCACTTTTAAATTTTACCCCATTTTTGAAGGTCTCAGGTTTACATAATCATTTGGGGGGGCTATATCTCGGAAGGTTCGCCTGTAGAGGTATGGTTCTTTTGACTTTTTTGTTCCTATCAATATGCTCTACAACTCTAAAGTCCCAATCGCGTCATTCAGAGCTAGAATTCACCTTTTAAAAATAATCATATTATATATCTTTCATCTCCCTTATTCTATTTTTCTTACGGGGTCTACTCTATTTCTTCTCCTCTTTTTCATGACTTTTGTTTCTTTCTCTAAGAATTTATATCTTCCTCTTCCTTATACATGCTTATACTTCCTGTTTACTTTTATACCATTTTCTCATATCTTTCTCCAAATGTTCTCCTATAAAAAATGTAAGAATTACATTATATATATATATATATATTATAATATTTTCTACAATTTTAAAATATAATAAGTAAATTTTATAGTTTTTAATCGATACCGACAGATGGCGACACGATTATATTTAGTAAATAAATTTGAGCATCAAAAATAGGAGGAGGAGGAGGAGGAGAAAAGAAGAAGAAAGAAGAGGAAAATGAAGAGAAAGAGGAAAAGAGAGAAGAAGAAAGAGTAGGAAGATGCGGAGGAAGAAAACGAGAAGGAAGAGGAAGAGAAGAAGAAGAAAGAGTAGGAAGATGAGGAGGAGGAGAAAATGGAAAAGGAAGAGGAAGAAGAGGAGGGGAATAAGTGCTTAACGAATCGAGAAAATTTTTAATTAATTTGTTTGTTTACAACTTATTTGCTGAGTTTAACGCATGCAAATCTCTTATGCGTTGCTATTAATTTTACAAAAATTACATCAATAAAAACTGTTATCATTAGCGTCTTATGGGAGACTAAAACTAGCGAGAAACGAGTCTAATTTCTAATAGAACTTAAATAAAAACTAAATTTTATAAAGTTAATTATTTGCCAAATAAAATTAAAATTTCAAATATAATTTTTGAGTTTCATACTTCTTTTTTTATGGAATAAAGAAAAAAAAATTGAATAAAATATATGTATGAGTAATCATATTTAGCATATGATGTCATGCAAAAATAACCCAGTTATATTGTTATGGGAGTTGGCAGATTTAATTTAATGTGGTTATCCTGTCATTTTTTCCATATGTGGAAGGATTTAAGGGTAAATAGAGTAAGCTAAAGCTACTTAAAGTCGGTTAGGAGCGAGTGAAGCACTTTCACGCTGTGCACTATTGCTAATGAGTGGAACAGTGCTCCACTTACATATTTGCAATGCCAATATGTGTAGATACGACACTCGATCGCAGCTCCTCTACCGACGATTACCACAACGAAGGTAAAGTGTGGCTGGATGAGAGAGATCAGCAAGGCGGAGGAATTAAAGATCTGTCTGTGTTCGCTTGTACGTAAGATACAAGAGAACAAAACAAGAAATACGAAAATTGTACTGGTTAGACTGTTTGTATGTGTCCTGTATTACTGAAAGTGGTGAGAAGCCATGAGGACCGACAAGTCCAGGGCAAAAACACATTGCACCATCGGTGTATAGGGCCGGAGAGGCCTTTTCGTCAGGTAGGCATTTATAAAACCTTACTCTATAGATAACTACAACACGATATTATCTTAATGGAGAGATTCGAAATCGTCTCCGATTTTTCCCTCCTCTTATTCTTAAAAAAATATGTCTACATAAGTTAAATTTCATTGGAATTAACAACTAACGTATAGCGTGAATAATCCCGTTTAATCCCTACCAATTTCTAATGATAAAATATTAACAGATTTTTCAATATATCTGTCTACTTAAATGGAAATTAAAAAAAGAATGTATCGATCCTCGAGTTCGGTTTAATTCCGTGGTCGAGTTTAAGATGATCTGGGTCGTGGATGTGGGTATGATAGATTTTGTTAAAGCTATCTTTATCTTTTCTCCTTTATATATATATATATGTTGATAGATAAGAGAGGTGATAACAGATAACATAGAGACTATACTATTATTAAATTAAACATGGCCGCCTTCGCTCCCTTTACTTCCCACTGTATTAAACACGTGCTATACTCATCCCTAAAAATCCATCTACTTTTAAAGATTTAGCGATTTGGACGCCATAAAAGGATGAGAATTCGAATTTGTGACTATCCTCCTCTCTATTCATCGTACTACGCACAACGGATCAATATTTGTATGAAGAACTCTCTCTTGTACTCCGCGGACTATCAGGGAGAGAAGGATACACGCGCTTTACCGTCCTGATCGTTAAGGAACCCGTTTGACAGAATAATGAAAGAAGAAAGAGTTCTACAACCCGATAACCGGCAATTTTTTTCTTGTCACTATTATGGCATGTTACTATAGCAACAGAAATTTGCATGATTTTGTTAGTAGCAAGCATCATTCGATTAAATTAAAGTTTTCCCCCTCCTTTTATCCTTTCTTCAATAAATGATATATTATCTTTAAATAATAATTGGAAATTTAAGTTATATTCTATTCGATATATTTCCCGAAAGTCGTTTATTTCTATGACTTACAATAAAAATCTCCTTTTTATCCACCTTTTCCTACTTTTTAAAGTGTGTGTCTGTGTGTATTTTTTTAAAATAACCTACGCTCTTTTTACTTCCATTTTATGTAATTCAATTTAGATCTCATCATAATGTTCAATCCTATTCCATAATTTTCCAGTTATCTTGCTACACATAGGCCTAGAAATGATTTCTTAGTGAGTCAGCTGCATGGTTTCTTGGTCCTGGACTAATCCACAAATGATTATTTACTCCATTTGTGTTTTGACTGAATAAAATATCTTCGAGTCTTGAATTTATTTTATTGCAGAACGTATATAATCTATTTATTGACGTTATCTTACTTGTAATCAGTCATATCGAGATCTGTAACAAACTACTTATTTATCGAATGGTAAGATTGTGTTCCGCAGACAACTGACTGAAATGTTGTCCTAATCGATTTTAGTTCACTCATTCTACCCTCCCCATCCACTCCATTTAACAGCCAGGTCTTGAACCAACATCTTTTAACAGATGATTGTTAATGCTATACCCCAATGTCCATTCTGATGATGATAAATTACCATCATTTGTAATTTTCATATAAAGATATAAGAAAATTCTTTCTCGACAAAATTGAAAGGATAATATCAAAAATATTTTATGTTTGAATATGATAAATATTTCAATATAGAAAAGTAAGTAGTTTCCGTTGTGAATAAATAATAAGTTAGTTCGATTTCCCCGTGTGAGTGTATGTTCGGCTTTCCTGCAATGGTAATGTGTTATGTGGCAAAGAGGGATTTACAGGTGCTTGTTTCACTAGACTACAGTTTGTTCTCACTCACTCCTTACCTCTCTCTCTCGGGTGGGGGTTTTTTAAAATTAAAATATAATAAAATATATTTACGATATTCATAAATTAATATAGTGACATTCACTTTGGACTTTACTATAAAAAAATTATAAATAAATTCGCTACCGTGTATAACATATAAAATTTGTAATTACAAATGTATATGTATATGCATACATACTAAATAAATAAATTATTGTATTGACTTTTAAAATTGTCATAGTTTACAGAGTTATTTTAAGTCTAGAATATAGAATTTATCTTAAATCATTAATCAAAAATATGAGGACGAATCTTAAAGATGATTGATTCGTTCTTATCTGAGCATAAGGACGAATCAATCATATTTAAGATTACACCAATTAAACTTCGTCTGTTATCTTACGACAGGATAATCAATGTAGAACTTAATTTCAAAATGATTCCTTACAAAAATGTGTATTAGAAAAATAATAATAACGTTTCAAATAAGAGAAAATAGCGTGAAAGTTTCATTTTGATTTTTATGAAACCGTATTTTTCTAGATATTAAATTGAGATTTTAATGTTTTCGGTACTCTCTACTTAACAAATCGTTTTTTCTTTATTTTTTTTTTTATCAAATTCTCACAGAGGTGAATAGGTGTAATTGAATTTTCTGCGCCACTTATTCGCCTGGTGGCAGTTAATGGTAGCTTTATCTATGTTTCGCTACACTGAACATTTGTTGGGACGATGAATGAAAGGATTTCGTCTCGTATCAAAACGAAATTTTGAAAAAATCAGATTGACATTAAGGTCAATGTAATTATTCTTTAACCACTTCTGGAACTGTATTGATAATCAAACAATTTTTTACTGCACTGACAAATAATAAAATTGTGTACTCTCTCTCTCTCTTATATACTACTATCATCGGTTAGTTTACTTTAAATAATAAAAAAAGAAACTAACAATAATAACGTCACGCTTCTAAAATTAATTTGAAAGATATTTACTGATACTCTACACCCACGTGTTAACATTTCTTTTTTTTTTTTAATTTTTAAGGAACTTATTTTAATATCATTAAATTAGTAAATCATTAAATTATATTTCATTTATAAATTCACTTTAATAGAAATGAAGAAGCTACTCGAAAATTCACTAAGGAAATCCCAAAACGTGTTTAAAAAAAAGAAGAAAAAGAAAACTTTATCACATTAATGATATCGATTTATCCGAAAATCAACATTTTAAAACAAACAACCATCTACATCAAATGATTATCTAATAAACAAATAAGTAGAAAGATCGTTAAGTTCCATTTTTTTTTATTTAAATTTTTCTTCTTTACTTCTCTATTAAGTAATTTACTGAGTAATTTTAAAAATTTACATTGAATGTGTAAATACATCGAATAGACTTCTTTTATTAGAATAAGGATTAAAAGTACTTTAATAGAAAATAAAAAGAGAGAGAGAGAGAGAGAGGGGGGAAGCAAAACTTT